GCCAGACGAGACGAGGGGTGTGAGGGGGTGTGAGGGAGAGGGATGGCCTAAAAGCTGGCTCAGGCCGTGGGCTGGGCTTCCTGAGAAAGGGCATTGAGGGAGGCACTGACCGTCGTAGGAGGGAGGGCTGGCGGGACCCGGGGTAACCATGTTGCATTTGAGATGCATGCGCTGGCGGGGAGTCCTGGAGGTGGCCTGCAGGCCTCAGGGGCATCCCCAAGGCCCTCGGACTCCCTCCTCTCTGTGCTGACACATCTCACCTGTCACTGGCGCTGCCCCTTCAGGAGGGTGTCCCAGTGTGGGGGTGGGGAGGGGACTCCCTGCCTTGGGCTGCCCCTGGCCTGAGGGAAGGCAGGGCTGGGAGCTCCGGGTGTGAAAAGGACCCCGGAGGGCAAACTCCTCCGCCTGTGCTGATACTCTGCCCCCAGCTGGTCTCCTCGCTAAGGCAAGGCTGGACGCTCACCTCCTCCAGGAAGCCTTCGTGGCTTAGCCCTGCCCAGCCTTCCGGTGAATCCTGGAGCCAAGCACTTCATGCCGCAGACCAGATGGGCTCCTGAGGGCAACCTCTTGCCTCCCCCATCATGATGTCACACACACACCCTCCCCTCCCCCTCTGCTCCAGAGTCTGCCCAGGCCGCCCTCACTGTCCCTCTCTCGTTCTTCTGAACTTCACATGTGGAGGCTGTAGCGGGTTGAATGGTGGCTCCCAAAAAGGTATGTCTGGGTCCTACACCCCTAGATCCTATGGGTGTGACCTATTTGGAAAAAGGGTCTTTGTAGATGTAGTTAGTTAAGGATCTTCATAGGAGATTATCCCAGATTGCCAGGTGGGCCCTAAATCCAATGACACCTGAGATTATAAGAGACAGGAGGGGAAACCGGTTTGGCTCAGTGGTAGAGCGTCGGCCTGTGGACTGAAGGGTCCCAGGTTCGATTCCGGTCAAGGGCATGTGCCTTGGTTGCGGGCACATCCCCGGTGGGGGGTGTGCAGGAGGCAGCTGGTCGATGTTTCTCTCTCATCGACGTTTCTGGCTCTCTATCTCTCTCCCTTCCTCTCTGTAGAAAATCAATAAAATATATTTTTTAAAAAATAAAATAAAAAAAGAGAGAGAGACAGGAGGGAGCGCCTGTGAAGACAGGAGCAGAAATTGGAGCTGGAAGGTGCCAGGCAGGTGCTCCCAGAGCCTTCGGAGGGAGCAGGACCCTGCGGATGCCCGGACTCCAGGACAGTGGGACAATCCATTTCCATTGTTTAAGGCCCCAGTCCGTGGAAGTTGGTCTGGCAGCCCTAGGAAATGGATACAGGGACTTAAGAACAGCCAGCAAGTAGTCCTCAGAGGTCTTCACTGGCCACAGTGAGAGCAGACCGAGTGCTGGGTCCAGCAAGAGCCGTGTAGTCCTCAGGGGACCGCCCTGCCTCCAGGCCCAGGCCCCCCTGCAGGAGGGTCGTGGACACGTGGAGACGTCCAGGGGCCCAGTGAGGAGGGCAGTGCTGCCAGGGCTGCCTGGGCCCAGGGGGTTGGGGGGGGTCATGAGATACGCTCAGCTCAGGTAAGGAAGTCCCTCCCCTTGGCACACCTCACACCAGAGCTCGGGGAGTGAGCAGGGTGTGGAAAGTTCCAGTCACCTCCGAGACCCTCCAGCCCTGTCCCCTGGCCACCTGCTGCCACCTGAGCCCAGCAGGGCTGACACAGGCCTGGGGTGGGCGGGCTGTCCTGGGCTCCTACCCACACAATCTGTCCTGGTTCCCACCTCAAGGCTCCGGCACCAGCCATGCAGCCCTGTGCCCACCATCATCGCCCCCTCAGCCCCTCGTGTCAGGCCTCAGCCTCAGCTCCCCCTCCTCCTCTGCCTCTGTGGCTCTTTCTAGACCTCCCAAGCCCGGCTCAGATGTCCCTTCCGCCATGAAGCCTTCCCTGGTCTCTACCAGCTCCTCTGCCAGGCCGATAGTGACCAGGGACAGGGCTGACGTGGAGAGAGCCAGATTTGGATCAGATGTCCCTTCCCAGCATTGCACAGATCCGCTGAGTGACCCAGGACCAGTCACCTGAAGTCTGTAACCCCCAAAAATAAAAATAAAAAGCCTGTAACCCGAGTGGCCCACCTCTAAAATGGCCCCATATAACCTCATTCTCCTGCTTCTTTATGGCCCCATATAACCTCATTCTCCTGCTTCTAGTCTCCCTTCTCCCATACATATTAAACGAGCACCACGGATCCTTCAAAAATCCCCCATAGCAGATGCTCCATAAAAGCGTCACTTCCCTGGAACGCTGAATTCCTTTCCTGACACCTGGTCTGCCCGCAGGACCGACCACCCCCCTGCCCTCCACTCCCGGCCCTGCTTTGGCGGAGCCTCCCAGGCGGGTTCCCGCCTGAGAGTGGGACGTGAGGTCTGGATGTTCGTTTGTGTTGGGTTTTTCCCCTCGGGCCGCCCAGACCAGTGGGGAGACCTGGCCCGGACGTCAGGAGACGGGGCTCCAGGCTGTTCCGTGGCAAGAGGGAGCCCTCTTGCTCTCTCTGTCCTGCCTGACTGTGAGTATGAGTTCTGGGTTTGGGGGGCTCAACCAGAAGGGTGCAGGGGGCCGGAGAGAGGCTCTTGTCAGGAGCGACGGCTGGAGTAGGGGATGAGCCAGGCAGGCACAAGGAAGGAGGGCGACTGGCCCTCCACCCCCATCTGCCATCCCCTCTCCCTGGACCACATGCCACTCCCCCCAGTCCACCCCAATGACCCTGCCTCCCCAGCCACGGGGCTTCTCAGGAGGAAATCCTAGTCACCACCTAACCTTTTGGAGACGGAGTCTCAGCAGTAGTGGAAAATCAGCAAACATTCAGTTCATCCTCCTATTTCTACTCTCTCATCTTGTTTTTTCTTATTGCTTTCTTCCACGGGACTTGCACTAAGCCCTTGAGGTGTGTTGACGGTGAGAGGGACCTCGGCTTTAGAGTTCTAATCCTCCCCCCATTAATTCTCAACTTTATGCCATTAGACCACCTGCACCCCCTCTTCCCTTCCTCTGGCTGACTCACTTCTGCTTCCAAACTAGACCCCGTCTCCTAAGAAGCCTTCGGACCCTGAAGCTGTCCAGGGCACCCTGCTTCTCCCTAATGTGCCCAGCAGAGTGCCCAGTGCATTATAAATTCAAAAACATGTTGAATAAATGAACGAATAGAAGATGACTTCTTTTAAAAAAAAAAAATTTTATTGATTTTTCACAGAGAGGAAGAGAGAGGGATAGAGAGTTAGAAACATCGATGAGAATCATCGATCAGCTGACTCTTGCACACCCCCTACTGGGAATGCGCCCGCAACCAAGGTACATGCCCTTGACCGGAATCGAACCCTGGACCTTTCAGTCTGCAGGCCGACGCTCTATCCACTGAGCCAAACCGGTCCCGGCAGAAGATGACTTCTTATGTCAGACTCAGCTGTGATAGATAACAGAGACTCTCTGGCTACTGAAAAAGGGGGAAACTATATGTGACAGTACCTCACCGCCTTGGGGGTTTCTTGTGCTTAGAGCATTGGCCCGAGGACTGAAGAGGGCGCGTACCTGGTTCCAGTTGCAGTGCATGTGGGAGGCAACTAATTGATGTGTCTCTCTCTCTCACATCAATGTTTCTCTCTCTCCACCTCCCCTTCCACTCTCTCTAAAAATCAATGGGGGACAAAATATATGTCCTCTGGTGAGGATCAACACAAAAAGATAGTAACACAAAGCAGTGGAGAAAATGGAACTTAAACAATTATTTAGCAACTTGGGGGGGGGGGAATATCAATTTAGATTATTGCCTCTTGTCACATATCAAATTGAATTTCATGTGGCTCAAAACTCAACATGAAAAATTAGGCCATATTTTTTTTTTTTTAAAAAGAACAAAATATAATATACTATGTTTTTTTTAATCTTTGAATAAGGAAAGACTTGCTAAGCTTGAAACCAAGAAAAGAACTTGCCTGGCCTCTATGGCTAGGTGGTTCAGCATTGACCTATGAATCACGAGGTCACAGTTCAATTCCCAGCCACGGCACATGCCCGGGTTGCAGTCTCTATCGTGGGTATCAGTGACCCTCATCATTAATTTTTCTATCTCTCTCTCACTCTTCCTTCCTTTCTGAAATCAGAAAGAAAAAAAAATTTTTTTTTAAAGAAAAGAACCTACAATAAAAAAATCAATAGACTTGATTTAAAACTCTTACTCTTAATAACATCATAAACAAAATAAAAATAGCAAGATTTGGAAAATCTGTTTCAATGGATAATGATTTTAACATTTAAATTGCTGAAACAGTCCCTAGTAGCACAGGAGCAAAGTAGATGAATAGAAAATTTACAAAGAACATGCAAATTAAAATGAGATGTTTTTCAACCATTAAATTACTAAAATAAATTTAAAAAAATATATATTTTATTGATTTTTCACAGAGAGGAAGGGAGAGGGATAGAGAGCTAGAAACATCGATGAGAGAGAATCATCGACCAGCTGCCTCCTGCACACCCGCTACCGGGGATGTGTCCACAACCCAGGTACATGCCCTTGACCGGAATCGAACCTGGGACCTTTCAGTCTGCAGACCGATGCTCCATCCACTGAGCCAAACCGGTTTCGGCTAAAATAATTTTTTTAATCATGGCGATTTAATAATAGCACCAATGATTCCGGGACAAGACTGATACAACTTTCTCGGAAATCTACTTGGCACTCTCAAAAATCTTCACGTCCTTTGACTCAGTAATTCTTACATCCAAAAAAAGGAGGGATTCATTTGAAATGCAAGCAAAGACTGGCTGAAAGAAACATTTCTCATTAAATTGTGACACTTAACTTCTCATTTTCCTTGTCATCTCTAAGACAGATAACGTCAGTATCTAAGAATATTGGCTTCTCACGGAGACCACAGCCTGGTGAAGTTCGGGCAGGCCCTGGTAGGGGCCCAGGGACGGAAGCCAGGCCTCTGGGCCTCTTCTCTTCCCAGAGCCCCCCTGCCCCCCGGGAAGATGTCAGTGTGGGGCAACGACAGCTCCAGCCTGTCCTACACCAGCTTCCTCCTGCTGGGCTTCCCGGGGCTGCAGGAGGCCCGCACGCTCCTGGTGCTGCCCTTCCTCAGCCTCTACCTGGCCATCGTCTCCACCAACGCCCTGGTCATCCACACGGTGGCGGCCCAGCGGCGCCTGCACCAGCCCGTGTACCTGCTCATCGCCCTGCTGCTGGCCGTCAACATCTGTGCCGCCAGCGCCGTGCTGCCCCCCATGCTGTTCAGCTTCTCCGCCCGCTTCAGCCGCGTCTCCCTGGCGCGCTGCCTGGCCCAGATGTTCTGCATCTACTTCCTCATCGCCTTCGACTGCAACATCCTCCTGGTCATGGCCCTGGACCGCTACGTTGCCATCTGCAACCCACTCCGCTACCCACAGGTAGTGACCGGCCGGCTGCTGGCCTGCCTGGTGGGGGCGGCGGCGGCCAGGAGCACGGGTATTGTGGCTCCGGTGGTGGGGCTGGCCTCCCGGGTACGCTTCTGCCGCTCGGATGTGATCCACCACTTCGCCTGTGAGCACATGGCCCTGATGAAGCTCTCCTGCAGTGGGGCTCACTGTCCGCATCTTCAACCGAGTCCTGGACATGCTGCTGCTCGGCGCCTCCTACTCCCGCATCCCCCGCGCCGCGTTCCGCCTTTCGCCGGGCAGGGCACGCGCCAAGGCCCTGGACACCTGTGGCTCCCACCTGCTGGTCATCTTCACCGTCTACTCCTCCACCATGTCCTCGTCCATCGTCTACCGCGTGGCCCGCACCGCCTCCCAGGATGTGCACAACCTGCTCAGCGCCTTCTACCTACTGCTCCCCTGTCTGATCAACCCCATCATCTACGGGGCCAGGACCAAGGAAATCGGCAGCACCTGGGGCTTCTGTTCCGAAAGGCACGGCTGCAGGTCCCCGCTGGGAAGGCCCAGTCCCTGCCCTCACACAGGGAGCTTCCTGCCTGATTCTCTAGAACTTACTATAGGTCTATAATTACTCTGTCAAGCGGGTAAATAAATGTGCAGGTGAGTCCTCCCTGCTGTCCTGGGGCTATCTGCATTCATCTTTCTTCCATCCATTTTCCGAAAAATAGCTAGTCATCCAGAGTTGCACAGTAACCAACTGCAAAGCCAGCTCTGTCTCTGTCTTCTAAATTTTCTCCTCTTCTTTCTGCATGTGATTTTAACCGATTCATTCTCTAATCTGTTCATCAAACATGTATTATACACACATCATGCTTACATAGAAAGGGGAAATAAGATCTCTACCCTGAAGGAGGGTCCCAACCTAGCAAGCTGTGAAGGCATTGTGTTTACAATGACAGCTTTATGTACAAAAGGCTGTGAGAACATCGAGGAGGGACAATCACTAACAGAACACTTCGCAGAGGGTGAGTTTGAGCTGTGTTTGAAGGATAAGATAAAGTGTTTACTGGAAGGGAAGGAGATATGGAGAAAAGACATTGTAGACAAAAGGAACAGCATGGGCAGTAAGGAAGTGATACAGAAATTGGTACCAGGAGTGGGGTGCTGTATAATAAAAATCTAATATATGATGTGACATTGGTTTTGAGATTGATCTGGTCACCCAAGCCTGTCTTCAGCAAAGAATCCTGGTAGGTCAGCCAGAGCCCCTATTGCTGATGTAATTCTCCATCCACTCACCCCTCCCCTGCTCCTTGGCTAAAAATTCCCCTTGCCACACTGTATTTGGAGTTGAGTCCAGTTCTGTACCGAGGTCTCTTTTCCCTGATTGCAACAGTCCTAATAAAATTTGTTTCTACCACTTTAACTACTGTCCAGCTCGGCTGTAAACAAGAGAACATGCTCGGGCTAGCCAGCTGGAGGAACAAAGGATGCATTTAGCAGAGCTGAGCTGCCCCAGCCATCCCACAGATGCTCACTAGATAAGCTGATAGCCAGCCAGCCCTTCAACACGTGAGGAGGCCCAAGCGAAATCAGCAGAGACACCGAGCTAACCGCCAGGGTGTGTGAATAAATGCCTGCAATAACGCAAACTGGGTTTCTGTGTCTGTCTGCTATTGCAGCAATTTTGTGACAGGAGGCAGCTGACAAAATGATTAAACAATGGTTTATACACAGTATGTCTACCATAAGTTAGTTTTCTTCCTTTACCACATTGTTTTAATATGTTGGATAAGTGTATTTAACTGCTTAACGATGAGTTCTATAAGGGTAGAAACTGTATCTTAAAGCTATTAGACGAAGGTAGTGAGAAAATATTATTCTTTTAATACAAAAGAAAACACATGGACAAGTGCTTGAAGGCAGAAGGTACTAACAGTGAGGGGATACTGCCCATTTCAATAAAAACCACTCTTCAGGATGGAGAGGGAACCAGAGCCTCAGTCTGAGATTCCAAACGAGGGGGTGGGTGTGCACTGTGGGAATTGAGGCTGTCCAGTCTCCACTCCCCCCCCTCTCCCAGCTTCAGTCACCCCACTTTTTCTACCAGGAACTCCTCCTCCTACCTCACCTTGCTATTTATTGCTATAATTTATTGACCTCAGAAATGCTCATAACAGACCTCACTTGGGACAGGATCTCCAGACCCCCCCTCCACTTGGCGGGGCCCTGTGGGGCCAGGTGCTGAGGGGAGCCTCTCTGTTCCCACCCATCACTTGCTGTCCCCCTCCGCCCTTGGGGGACCCCAGGAGGGGGAGGGAGAGGGATGGGGTTATAGCCGTTTTGTTTAATTGGAACTGGAAGAGGGATCGTGTCCTTACGTTACGTCCTTCCCAGAAAGGGGGAGGGACACCCTGATCGCACTCCTGTACTGGCCACCGCCGCTGTCAGTCATCCCGTTGAGTTCACTTCCCTCGAGAGTTTGGATAAATTCAGGTCAGAGCTGCAAGTTCGCAGCCCTCACGTGTCATAGAAAAGCAATTCACCTACGACTAATCTCTCCATTCAGAAGTGTGCAGTCTTAATGTACAGTGATGAGAAACTGTTATTTTATGATCTTTTCATTAAAAGCTTGATTGAAAACTAAAATAAATAAATAAATACCACTCTTCAGTCAAAGGCATCAGGGGTTCTCAGGGAAAGGGCTGGTTCTAGGGCTGAGGTATAAAAAACACAAAATGATCCTGGATAATCGTAAAGTGCCACAAAGCAAGCAAGTGCTCAAAAAATGATGGGGCCATGTCAAAAGGACAGCAAGACCCATCTGAAGGGGTTTCTAGTAGCCCGCTGAGGGAAAATTTGAACAAAATAAAGATAATAATAGATGATAACCTTTAGAATACAAGTCCATACTGATTTAGACGGATGGATAGAGATGGACACATGATAAGGGAAAGCTTTTCCTTACAGTAAAATTCCGGATAATAAATGCAGAAGGAATAGAGGTAGAAATCCCAATTTGCCAAACATCACAGAAATAAACATTTCAAGCAAGAATTTATGCTAAAATTAGTGGGCAAAATTATGATGAGAAACAAGATATATATAGTTTTAAAGTATTCCCTCGCAAGCACTTATTAACTACTAAAGGAAAATAGTAACTTTACAATGGAGAAATCTGGATGTCTCTTAAGCAAATGACAAGCATCCCCAGCAGTGGCATAAAGTGTTATCACATGTCTTCTGAAATGATGTACTGAGAAGGGCACAATGTCATTTCTGTAGCATTCTTGCAAAAAAAAAAAAACCCCAAAATCAAAAAACAACAACAAAAAATCCCTGCATAACTGAATTTAATCAAGAAACATGAAATCAACCCAAAATGAGGGCCGCTCTAGAAAACAACTTGCTGGTACATTCTTCCAAAGTGGCAAGTTGCTGAGAGACAGGAAAAGCTGAAGAACTCCAAACAAAAGGAAGGGAGACACAAACCCAAATGCAAACGAGCAGTCCTGGATTGGATCCTGGGTCCGAAAAGGGACGTTAGTTAGTTGACTGTTTGCCAGAAACTGAACATCTGTAAATTACAACAGTAGTGTGTTGATATTAATTTCCTGACTTTGATCATTGCACTGTGGTTACATAAGATGCTAACATTGGTAAATCTGGGTGAAGTGTGCGCAGGAATTTTTCATACTTTTGTTTTTTACGTTGAAAATTATTTCAAAAATAAAAGTTAAAAAATGTTAAAAGAGTAGGTGAAACTATTCTCTGGAAAATTGGGGAAATGTTCAGTTACTAGCAAGAAGGAAGAACAGGCCCTAACTGGTTTGGCTTAGTGGATAGGTCGGCCTGCGGACTGAAGCGTCCCAGGTTCGATGCTGGTCAAGGGCATGTACCTTGGTTGCAGGCACATCCCCAGTCGGGGTGTGCAGGAGGCAGCTGATCAATATTTCTAACTCCCTGACCCTCTCCCTTCCTTGCTGTAAAAAGTCAAAAAAAAATTTTTTTTTAAAGAAGGAAGATGAGGAAGAGAAAATAGCAAAAGTGTGCATATTAAAAAAAAAAAAAAAGTGTGCATATTTTATGTGACCCGACCTCCCTCTAAATCACCTCAGAGAAGGCTACGGAAACCACAAAGCCACACAGAAAACTAAGAGAGCAGCAAGCAAAAGGGCAAAGATATGTACTCATCCAGAGAAACTGGCTGGAGCGGTGGTGAGGCTCAGGAGAGGCTCTGTGCGTGGTGTGGTGTATGGTATGCATTACATTTGGTAACTATGTAGGTGTTAAGAAAGGCACATCTCGATGTTAAAGTCCAAACCATAAAGCTTTACATGATCATAAAGGACTATATCTCCATGACAATGGGACACCGAGTCTTTTAGAGAACATAAGCATTGATCTTTTTGAAAGAATGAAAAATTTCTGACAAAAAGCAAGTTGGAAAAAAAAGAAAACAAGGACATGACCGAAAGGCTGATGCCAAAGCTGCCTTAATATACACCTGAACTGTCTATAGAACGCAAATGTTAAACCCTAAGACCTTAAGCAGCACTGAGAGCAAGCATCCTAACAGCTTCCTCCAGAGTTGGCTGATGTCCAGCCATAAAGTTAAGCTGAAGTCATGACACCTTTAACTCTTCTACTGTCTCAGACCTTAGATAACAACCCCCCACCCCAGGAAAGAAATTCTTATACATGCTACAACATGTATAAACTTTGAAGCTACTAAGTGAAATAAGTCAAATAGAATGACCACTATCCAGATAAAGGTCCTGTCGTCAGATAGAATGACCACTATCCAGATAAAGGTCCCGTCAGCACTTCTCATGGGCTAAGACATAATTTTGCAGCAAACCTGTTTTGTAGCAAAATTGAAGTCAACCGAAAAAGAAGTGCCAAGTGGGTAATGAAACTCTACTTAATTATCCTTATTCTAAAACTCTTACTGATTCCAAATGTATTTTTTAAAAGTAATTCCTCTATTACTTTATAGAGAGAAACAATACTTTAAATCAAGTGATCCTTTGGCTACAGTAAGGCTCAGCAAAGGTTTCCTCCTCCCAGACCCCTTATCCTCTCCCCATGATCCTGCCCCAGAGCACCTCTACCCCTTTAAGACCATTGTTCAGGACACACCTCTCAAAACTCCTACCCCGTCCTGTTCCGGACTTCCTATTACACCTATCTATGCTCAAGAAGTAGTTTGGGGGTCAGAAAGCTGTGGGCGGCACCCTGACCTGGGCCTGGGATCGAAGGCGGGAACGGAGGCCAGGTCAGCACAGGTGGCGGGAGCTGGGACGTAACTCCAGAGCTGGTCGGAGTTTGGGAGGTGGGTTGGGAGGCCTTTTGTTTTTTTTGTGTGTGTTTTTTTAAAAAATATTTTTTATTGATTTTTTTATAGAGAGGAAAGGAGAAAGAGAGAGAGCCAGAAATGTCAATGAGAAAAACATCGACCAGCTGCCTCTTGCACACCCCCTACCGTGAATATGCCCGCAACCAACCTACATGCCCTTGACCGGAATCAAACCTGGGACCGTTCAGTCCACAGACCGACGCTCTACCGCTGAGCCAAACCGGTTTCAGCATGGGAGGCC